AAAGTTATTCATAGTTGAGTTTGGGGAACTCAATGTTCCACACCAATCCCTTCACCAGTGTCCCCTTCCCGCTAACAATGTCCCTTTCCCTCCAATCACCCAGCTGGCCTACACAGCATGCACCTTTTTTTCCATCTATAGGCCTTTATTTTAATAGATCATCTTCTGCTTCCTCAAGAAAAGTCACCATGTTCTCCTTAAAACTGCACTTTTGTATCAAGTAAAGTTTCTTTTAATTTTTCAGTTATAACTAATACCCCCCTCCCCAAAGAGCACATTGCTAGACCTTATTTTGAAGTAACATTATTTTTCCTGTAGTCTTATAAGGTCTTCCTCTATCTCAAGTATTTGCTTTCTTTATTGTTACTATCAGGCAGGATTAAGTTCCATGATTAATGCAGAATACAAGTGCTTCTGACTGCATGTTTATTTTCTACCTACTCACTTTATTGTACTCATTAATTCTAATTTTCACTTATTTCCCTTATGTCATCTAGTCATATAATTTATAATTAGTGATGAATTTTTCTCCTCAAAATTTAGTTTATGTTCTACTGAACTGTTCAAAGTTCAAAGGTTTGCAAACATATTAAAGAAGTACTGACAGGGACATTTTAGCCTAGTACTTTAAACTGCTTTGAATGATCGCTGCCATCACACTAAAGCTATGTTATTTCTACTGTAGGTCTTGGATTTTCTTTAAATTCTTTTTTAACATTAGGATAATCAAAGAGCTTTAATCTATTAATGGTGACCCATTCTAAATTCTTGTGATAAATTCTGATATTTTTTTAAAATGACTGCTGACTTTGTAATCTTTACAACTGTATTCACAAGAAAGACTAGTCCTAAATTCATTGCAAACACGGCAGCTACCAGTCACCTATGCCTAACTAAGTGCCTGAACATGGCTGATCTAAACTGATGCATGCTAAAAGTATAAAATACAGACCTGATTTTAGAAAAAAAATAAGGTAAATATATTAAAGATAATTTACGTTAATTATATGAAATAGCAATATTTTGAGCACACTTTATTAAGCAAAATATAGTACAATTCCACCTGCTTCTTTTTACTTTTTTTCAATGTGGCTACTGAAAAATTATGAAGCAGATATACATTATCTACTGAGCAGTCCTGACAAACTGTTTCATCTCTCTCTCTCAATTAGTTTTATCTCAGACTCAACTGAGTTGTGTAGATTCCTGCATCTGCTATAAAACAAGTCATGCTGGCTTTGATAGCTTGAAAGGATTTACCCAGATTCAACGCCCCACAACTGTTTCTGAGAATTTTTTAAGTTACAAATCTGTTTTCATACTATGTAAAGGATAAAGTCTTAAGTGCTGGGGAGTCAGAAATGGATGACCTACATTAGATGTTAGGCTGTAAGCTTTCAAACGTATCTGGCCTACCACACTTCATTTTCAGAAATCTCTCTGTGCCCCTCTGGAATCTACCTTCTTTAAGTGAACAAACAGAAAATGGTCCCGATCACACCTGAGGTTACTCCCACATCCCTGCCCTGGATCATTCCTGTACCAGGTGTGTGGGTGCAGGTGTGGGTGTTGGGGGGGGGGGGGCAAGAGGGTAGCATCACAGGATCACAGGCTCTGGGAATCACCACGCTAGACAAAAATCAAAGACCTCCCAATGGCAACATTTCAGATCTCGGTGTAAAAGAGTTGCCAAAGGTCCTCCCTTCCTGACTAGTTTTCACCTGGAAAGGTAACCACAGCTTTGTTTTCTGTTTTGGAAGCTAGGTGAAGAGTCTCCCCTCTTTAAGACTAACACACCCCTATATATGTGCTAAAGCCACCAGAAGGAAATATCTTTGTCGCTCTCATTAGAGAATCACACTGAGAGCAGAATCTGAACCCCCAGATGCCACATGACAGCAGAGCCTTGTCAGCGGCAAGCCTGAGGACAGAGCAATGGAGAGTGTGGCAGTTGCGGGCGGGGGGGGGGGGGGGGGGGTGGGGGGAGGGAGGGGCTGAGGGGCCGAACAGTCAGTCAGCAGGGGAGTGGGGGGCCAGCTCACATTCACTTTACGTTCACTTTACAACAAGGTCTCCTGAGAGGTGAGACAGGAATATATCCTTCCTTCAGCCTGCAACTCAAAGCTACTATTATAGTTTTTTTGTTTTTTCTTATTTTTTTTTTTAATTTGGGGGCTGGAGCAATAGCGCAGTAGGTAGGGTGTTTGCCTTGCATACAGCCCACCCAGGTTCGATTCCCAGCATCCCATATGGTCCCCCGAGCACCGCCAGGAATAATTCCTGAGTGCATGAGCCATGAATAACCCCTGAGCATCTCCGGGTGTGACCCAAAAACCAAAAAAAAAAAAAAAAAGTGAAGTTGATAACAACTTGGGTTACACTCCTGGCTCCAAGTTTAGTGGTCTTAAACCTATGAGTTCCTCACTTTCTTCATCTGTACAACAATGATCATAAGATCTCATTTAGAGTTTGAGAACTGAATAGGAGGGTATCTAAAGCTACCAGAAAGTGCCTGGCACACAGTTTTAGCCTTCAAGAGAAGCTTTCCAATACCAACGAAAATAAGAGTCTATACTCCAGTATCATTAGCTTCTGACAAACACCGAGTGCAAGATCATTAATTAGCAAAGTCTCATCCACTAATAAGTGGCTTGGCATCCAGAAATCTAGTCATTATCAATTAAGGAACAGCAAGGAGTATAATCGTTAACACATAAAAAGGCACCCTGGCACTCTGACATTGCCGAATCACTCAATTATCATCAAAGGTGGACTAAGTCCAGGTTGTACCCGATACTTCAGACAACACAATCATCACAGACGGTACCTGCAGCCAGTTTCCAAGAGCTGCAGGGGAACTCCATGCCTCCCCTGGTGCTTTCCCTCCATCCCAGATTCCAAAGCTGCCTGTGCCTCTCTAAGCCCAGAACATCCCTCTCTCCACTTGGCCTATAAGGACATTTATGGCAGAGCCAGAGCCCCACCCCTGCCCCTCCCAGCCTTCCCTGCCACTCTACAGCCCCCGTCTGCTCCCAAAGGTAACTAAATGCTTCTCACTTGAGTATCTTGACTCACCTTTCTCCACAACTCAGTATTTTTAAAAAAAGAAAAACGAAAACCCAAAATGCTGATGTTCTCACCAATTTATCTTTCCTGAAGGAAATTAGAGGGAAAAAAAGAAAATGAATAGACAGGAGATCTCCAAAAGGCGAAACTGAGTATAGACGCGTTGAAGAGCCACGACAACGGACAAAGGAGGAGAAATTCTTAGAAAGAACTGGTGAGGGGTAAGGAAAAGGCAGCAAGCAAATATGTCGAAACAAAGGAAGAGGGACATGACCTGGATTTATCTGAGCAGAAGAACCTCTTTTTTGCCTCTCGTTTCTCCTCTTCCGGAGAGCACTGTGCCTGAGCCCTTCGCCCCATTCCTTTCCTTATCAGTTCTTTCCCAAGCATGGGGAAGGAATGAAATCTGCCAATACTATTGATTAGGGAGTCTGGGATGAGGGTTGTGGGATTAGTGGGAAAGGGACAAGCCCAATTCCTTTGGTCAGGTCCACAGGAGGAGAGAACACTTTCCTGGCTCATCGGAACTGCGCTGTAAACCTGAGCTAGTTATTCTGGAGGCAGAGTGGGAGGGATGGAGGCAACAGACACAAGACAGGGGAGGAGCTAAGTCACAGGCACGAGAAACCATTAGAATCCATGTAAGTTCTCTTTTTCTAAAAAAGATAAAAAAAAAAAATAGAGGGGCTAGAGTGATAGCATAGAGGGTAGGGTGTTTGCCTTACACGCGGCCAACCTAGGTTCAATTCCCAGCATCCCATATGGTCCCCCAGCACCGCCAGGAGTAATTCCTGAGTGCAGCCAGGAGTAACCCCCTGAGCATTGCCGGGTGTGACCCAAAAAGCCAAAACAAAAAAATAAAAATAAAAATAGATAAAAAAATTTTTAATTTTTTTCAACAGGCTCCTCAAGCAGTTGAGGTACACGTCTATCATGATGACTGTATCAAAACCTATATGCATGTTCTTTAACATGTATTAATATCTAAACATGATTATAAAGAGTCAAGGAACTTGACAAGATCAAAGGAACAAAAATCCCTCAATCAAATGAATTTAGCTGACCACATACTACGTTTTTAAATCACGACCCTCACAATATTAAGTCCTGAACACTTCAAAGAGGAAAAAAAAACTGAGGGCCATGGCACATAAACATAACTTCATTCACGAAATGAGACTTTGGTTAAGATGTAATGTTTCTCTAAAAGAACAGGAAAGCTTTATGTTTGCAGATCGGGCAGAAAATTCTGCCTACACCTCTTTATTTCTATACAAGACCATTCTTATCATTTGTTTTATATTTGCTGCATTAAAATTATTAAGCAATCGAAGACCAGCATTTAGTTCAAACCTGTATTTGTTTAACATGTAGGAATTTCTTCCCTTTGCAAAAAAAATGTTTCAGGCATTTTCTTCCCCTTCACACGACTTTTCTCCTAAGTTTTTAATTTCCTTTAGTTAAAAAAAAAAAAAATCAGGGCTGGAGTGATAGCACAGCAGGTAGGGCGTTTGCCTTGCATGCGACCCGACCCTGGTTTGATTCCCAGCACCCCATATTGTCCCCCGAGCATGGCCAGGAGTAATTCCTGAGTGAATGAACCAGGAGTAACCCCTGTGCATCGCTGGGTGTGACCCAAAAAAGCAAACAAATAAATAAATAAAATATTAAAAAAAAAAAATCAATTGTTTTTCTTTCTAACATTTTCAGTTCAAATATACCATAAATGTCACTGAAAACAGTTATGTGATCTTCTCTGAACAGCAACTACCATCACAACAACAAAGAAACGCTTTCCTCTTTTCCCCATGAATCATCTGACATAAAATGGTGGCAACCCTCAGCAGCATATCAAGGAGGAGAAGCGAGAGGTCTGGAAGTAGAGAGCAAGGTGCTGCTACCCGGCCTTATCTCGGATTCCAAGCCCCAAATACCTTTGTCTGCTCACTGTCAGGGTCTTCGAGCCATGCGTAAGGGTCAGGGATCTTATGCCCATGGTAATCCTGTACCTGCAGAAGACAGAATGTGGTATCAGATCGTTAGCATTCCACTCCTGAACATGATGAAGAAATAGAAAAAGGATAAGTCGGGGCCAGAGTGATAGTACAGCGGGTAGGGTGTTTGCCTTGCACGCAGCCGACCTGGGTTCGATTCCCAGCATCCCAGATGGTCCCCCAAGCACCGCCAGGAGTAATTCTTGAGTGCGGAGCCAGAAGTAACCCCTGAGCATCACTGGGTGTGACTCGAAAAGAAAAAAAAAAAAAGGAAGAAAGAAAAAAGGATAGTTAAAAAAAAAAATTTGACACACTGGCACATCTGTTCCAAGTGCCCCCAGAACCAAAGCTGGCCAGATTTCAGAGGAGTCAAAGCACCATCGATGAGAAAAAATGTTTTCACTGGAGATCTGAGAAGACAGAGAAAGACTGCCAGGGCGGAGCAGAGCACAACACAGGGGCTGCCTGTGCAGGATCCACCATGCATGTGCTCAGCTTTCCAGTCTTGCCAGTGATCAGAAAATCACCTGAGAGTACACAGAGACCATTTTTTTTACCTTTCAGTCTAAGCTGCCTTCAGGCAAGCTGCTAACATGTAGCATAAAAATTCTAACTGACATCAGCTGAAATAGCAGATAAACGATGCCAGAACCTTTCTTCCCCTTTGTATATTCACTGTTCCTTTTTAGTTGGGGAGGAGGGAGGATGGGACACTCAGTGATGTTCAGGGCTTATTCCGGGCTCTTCTGCACTCAGAGATCACTCCTGACAGGTCTTGAGGACCATATGGGGGTGCCAGGGATTGAGTCCAGGTCAGCTACATGCAAAGCAAGTGTCCTATCCACTGTATTATCTCTTCAGCCCCTCTCTTTCACTGTTTCATGGGGCCAGGTGTGCCCCTCCAAAAAATAAAAAATAAAAAATAAATAAAACGAGGTATTTAGACATCACCCAGATTATCCTGATATTCAAGAAATAAGCCTACAGTCTTCACATGGGAGCTGAGCGAAAATCAGATCCCATGAGGCACCAGCATCAAAACCAACCAGAGATCTCTGAAAAGCACCAACTCCCACACCTGGCCTAGGAGACAGTCTGAAAGACCAAGTGGGAACTAACATTCCCCAGTGACTGTGCTTAAAGAAATTACCCAAAGAAAAAAATCATTACAAGACCTTTCCACTCAAAGGGCCGGAGAGACAGTACAGCAGGTAGAGCATTTGCCTTGCCATCCTTGTCATCCCATATGGTTGTTCCCCTGAGCACCACCAGTGGTAATTCCTAAGTGCACTAACCTAACCCCTGAGCATCACCAGGTGTGGTCAAAAAAAAAAAAAAAGACCTCTCCACTCCATATTATCAGCATTAATCTCATTAAGTGAAACCCCACTGATATGGTCTTTCCAATCAACTCTGTAAATTAGGGTCAGGGAAATGGCTCAAAGGGCCAGACCACACACTGCACATGGGACCATTCCCAGCATTCCCAGGCCCACAGGGTCCCCCAAGCAAGTGGGGACAGCCTCCAGGGACCGCCTGGGGAGTGGTGACCTCCTCCATTAAGGCTTCTCATGTAAAGTGACTAGGAGGATGATTTGCATCTGGGCTAAAGTTTCACTTTTTTGGGGGGGGGGAGGGGAGAAGGAAGATGTTTGGGTCACATCCAGTTATGCTGCTCCGGGCTCATTCTCAGTTCTGCACTCAGGAATCACTTGCAGCAGTGCTTAGGGGACCCTATGGGTGCTGGGGATGGAACCCAGGTTGGTGCATGAAAAGCAAATGCCCTACCTGCTGCACTATAAGCTCCGTCAGCTGAAGTTTCAGTGACTCCTTGTTCTATAATACCGGAAGGCACAAGCTCTTCTCTAAGAACAGTCAGCATGCACCTGGAGAAAGGAAGCCCCAGGTGCTGTTTCTAGTGCTGGGGAAAACACCAGTGTGAGTCCGGTCTCACTGAAAACCAGGTTCAAAGGACCAGGCTTTGCAAGGACCTTGCAGCTGCCTCATCCGCAGGCAGTTTCATGGACTCTTGGGGAATGGCACAACTGGAAAAATGAGAAGCTAACTCTGCAACACCCAGGAACTGGTCTCACTCGAAACAACTGAGACAAACAGAAGGTGGCGAAGACCAGGCTGAAAATGCTCCTGAGGAATCCTCATAAGATAACATTCTTTCCATCCTTCCTCAAAAAACCTTCCTGAATCCTGTTTGATTGCTGTCACTGACTGAAAGCTTTCTATCATTTTTTCTCATCTGCAAGTCTTTTGCATTTTGCACACTTTGAAGTGGTATAAAATATGCTCCAAATAACCACCTCTTCCTGAACACACACACACAAAAATTAGAAAATGTTTCAAGTCACAAAGTCTCTCCCAATCCAACCTTTTCAGGGGCATGAGATGGCAAAAAAAAAAAAGCGGGACCTCGTCTCTGTCTGAGCCAGGGCAGGGACTGAAAACAATTCCAATAATTTGTTCCCAAATACTCCTTGGAAGGGATGGATCAGATGCTTTTACAAATGTTCCTTGATGATGATGTTACTAAAACTCAGACACATCCAGAGACTTAGTGGAAAAGATGAACTGAAATGCTAGTTTCATGACTAAGTGAAGGTGTTGCCAAGCGCCAGACCCAAAGCCACGAACATGTATTGAATATTCACACTGTTGTCCTGATGCTTGGAAGCCCTGCGAGACTGGATGAAACCCACGCACTGGCAGGATACAATTCAGAGAGGCTAATCCAGATAAAGACCCCTCTTTTGCTGTTTACCCAACGATCACGGTTAGCTAGCAAGCACAGTACCAGAGACTTCAGACACATCTCATCAGTTCCTCGAGGTAAGGTTATTACTAACATTTCTGCCAGACAAGGAGATTGAAGCTAGAGAGAGAGCGCGATTTGCAAACACAGATGATTAGTAACAGAAAATCTGTGATCCACCCTAAGCCGACCTCAAGCCCAAGGACTTAACTTCTGGTTCACAAGCTGGGCCAGGTGGCCCAGCCTGAGATCCCAGCTGGACCTCCACATGCTTCCCCTCCCCGGGTGGTTTACTCTGAGGGAAATGCCACCCCCTCTGAACCAGCATCACTGCCCAGACTGCATTTTAAGCCAGGACTAGAAAGGAATTCCAGGACAATCTTCAATCAATTCCAAGGGCCAATGTTTCTTTCACAAAACAGAAGCTTAGGGAGCTGGAGCACAGTGGGTAGGGCATTTGCCTTGCATGCGGCCGACCGGGGTTCGATTCCCAGCATCCCATATGGTCCCCCAGCACCACCAGTAGTAGTTCCTGAGTACAGAGCCTGGAGCAACCCCTGATCATTGCCGGTGTGACCCAAAAGGCAAAATACAAGACAAAAAACAAAACACGGAAGCCTATAAATGGGTTGGTCTTTGCCACATCCCCAAAACTCAAGCTGTGTAGTATCTGATGCTCTCATGGGTTATCAACCTACAAATAAGCCCTCATGGCCCCCAAGTCTCTTTAAAACTAGAATTCAAATAAGGCACTGTTGACAATTCATCTTTTGCCTGTAGTGACTTTCAGGAAAGAGGGAGACTTAAGCCTGTGGCATGCAGGCCCACCACACCTGGCCCCGCTTTTCTTCATTTCCGGTCCCCCATGCCAGCTAACCCACCCAAATTGCTCTAGACACAGTGGCCTTCCTGCCATCCTGCAAGCAAATGAGAATCCAATTCCACCCAGTCCAGGCCTGCTTAACTAATGGCTTTATTTCTGTGACAGAGCAGCCAGGAATACACTTTTTACCTTAACCAAATGGTCAACTTCCAAGTTCAATTCACCTATCCTCTATTCCCTTGGATATAAATTAATCCCATTCAGTAAATTCTCCTATCATCCAACAGACACCTTAGATTCTCTGTCTTGCTTTGAGGCCACACCTGGTGGTGCTTAGGGCTTACTCCTAAACCTGCACTCAGCGATCACGCTTCATGGGCTCGGTGGGCCTTATGGGTTGCCAGGGATTGAATCCAGGTCAACCACACGCAAGCCAAGCGCCCCACCCATTGTATTATCTCTGCAATCCAGACAGATTCTTTTAACCTGTATTGCCAGGTCTGAATTTCCTGACAGCAGCATCTCTGGAGATGGATAATGGCAGGGTCCAAGAAGTATCATGGTTTGCAAATTTTGGCTCCAGAGGGAAGGGCTATATCAACCAGGCTAGCAAGGTCCTGTTTGGGAGACAGCGAGTCCAGGGCAGAAAGCTGCTCCCAGCTATGGGGAATCTCCAAGATCTGCTGCAGAGACATACCCCTCCTAAAAATCTAGGCTACAATTTGAAAAGAGGCCTAAAGCCAGGGTTGAGCATCAGGAACCGAGAGTGGAAATAGAGAGCCCATGATGTAGGCTATCAGGGCTGTGGTAATAAGTATAATAAGTATAATAAGGATCCCAAGGGCTCAGTCCAGCAAAGACTGTCCTGTGGCCCTGAGGCTTATAGTTCTCATGATTTCTTGAGTGAGTATTAGGAAGGAACTAGAGTATTAAAATTCACAGTATACCTCTCCGAGTTCATGGCTCATCATCCCGATGACACATTCATAAAAATCTTCACTCAACCCCTTCAGGATTTATAAAACAGACGAGTGAACTACAGGACTTTGGTACCCAGAGGAGAGAAAAAAACCGAAGCAGAAAGCATCCCCCTCACCCACCATACCCCGGCTCCCCAAATCTAAAACTGAACTTATCATACCACAGAATAATTTCTATTTTTACCTAGCCTGAAAATTCACAGATCCTCAAGTACCCAAAGAGACACTTAACCTCCTCCTGTGATCAAAGTCTGGTGCTCTGCAGACCTGGAGCATTGGAGGAATGAAGGACTGAGGCTAGAGGGTCTTACTGAAGAAGCCAGAAGGTGGAGCTGAGCTAAGCCAGCTCTAAAATTTTATCACTGTCACTGTATCACTGTCATCCTGTTGTTCATAGATTTACTCAAGCGGGTGCCAGTAAGGTATCTATTTGTCCCAGCCCTGAGATTTTAGCAGCCTCCCCTTACTTGTCTTTCCCAATGACTGGAGGCTCTTTCAGGGTCAGGGGAATGAGACCTGTTATAGTTACTGGTTTTGGCATATTGAATATGCCATGGAGAGCTTGCCAGGCTCTGCCCATGTGGGCGGGATACTCTTGGTAGCTTGCCAGGCTCTCCGAGGCATATGCCTTCTAAAATTTCATACATGGGAAAATACCCTAGGACAGGTATTTCAAAGGGTCAAAGGGCATCCAGATACAGGATGACACAACCGGAACTAGCTTTCCAGTCTCCACTAGGCAGGATCACCTTCCACCCAGGTACAAAGAAACCACGATTTTAACCACAAGTAGCAGTTGCAGACGCTATTAGATGAATGCAAAAAAGCAGCAAATAGACCAAGAAACCCCAGTGGCCAGATGGCCCTGGGATGGTCCCAGAGTGCCACCGTGTCCCTTCAGTCTTAATGCTGAAGCCTTCAACCCCCCCTTTACTAGAAAGAAAGGTGAGCTTTCAAGTACAGACTTTTTGGCATAAGCTGGGTCAAACCCAACACACACACCTATGTTACACAAAAATATTTTCATTCTGATTTTCTAAGCAATCTGAGAAATTTGGCTGGTCCTAAGAGAATCATGCCCACAACATTTGGATTCATTCCAGCTCTTAACACGCCAAATGAATTTTTCCACACTTAAAAAAAAAAAAGGGTGTTTGCCCAGAATCCTGCCCACCAGATCTCCACGGTTACTTGCTGTTCTCCTACAACTTAAGATAAATGGTGGCACAAATCTGCAAGAAAGGTCATTCCTCTGCCTTCTAAAGCCTCCTATTAAGAGGCATCAAGGAACCTCCCCCGGGCTTCCGTGTGTTTGGGGAAAACTTGGGACGGCTTGGGTCACGCCGAGGAGGGGTCTCGGCTCCACCTACCCCCATGGCCAGGTTGGTCCTGGCATCTTCCCTACGGGGGGGGGGGGCGCTCCCCTCCAAGCCCAACACCGGATGTAGGGACTGGGGTGGCTCCCCCAGGTACACACCTTTTCCGAATGCAATGAATGAACTTGCACTCTAAAGCGTTTAAAAAAAAAATTAACCATGTGTTAAGTTGCAAAAGTTTGCTTTTGTCTCTCCCTGGGTTGCTTCCCGGGCACGCGGGCTCCTGCCACGCTATGTCAGCCAGGAGCCCGAAGAGAAAGAAAAAAAGAAAACGCTCCGTGAGCCCACTCCTTTCTGCACGCGCGCTCCTCCCCGGGGCGTGTGCCCCGGCGGACCCCGCGGGCTCTCGGCGGCAGCGGCGGCGGCGGCGGCCACGCGTGGCCCAGGCTCGGCCGCCGGCAAGAAAAGCCGGGAGGCGGCGGCCACGGAGGTGGGGGTGGGGGGGTGGTCTCGGGCGGCGGCGCGGGAGGAGCCCCGCGCCCCCCCTCCCCCAGCCCGCTTCTCCCAAACAAAGGCCGAGGAGGAGGAGGAGGAGGGGAGGGACGCCGGGGGGTGGGGGGTGGGGGAGCGCGCTCGGGCGGGCGGCTGGGCGGGGGGGGGGGGGGCGCAGGCGGCCAAGGTGGGGAGCGGGCGCGGGGCGGCGGCCGAGCACGCGGCGCCCACCCGGCGAGGTGGCGCCGGAGGGCGGTGGCGAGGGCTGGCAGGGCTGCTACTCACGGAGCTCTCGTCGCGGTACACGTCGGGGTACTGGAAGGACAGCATGGCCAGGGGCGGACCGTGCGGGGCGCGGGTTCCCGGGGCAGACGCGAGCGGGCCGGGCTGGGCGCGGGGAGCGGCGGCGGCGGGCGCGGAGCTGAGCGGGCGGCCGGGGCTGGGCACGAGCTGCTCGGCGGCGCGGCCGTGCTGGAAGCAGGAAGCAGCTGTCGGCGCGGGCCGAGAGCCCCTCCTCGGCGGGCGGGCCCAGCAGCGGCGGCGGCAGCAGCAAGAGGGAGCGGGGCTCCGTCTGCGGCGGAGCAACCTGGCTGGACAGCTCCCTCTGCAGTAGCGCCGGAGTGCAGCAACCTCCGGGCACCGCGCACCCCGCGCGCTCGCTCCCCCGGCGCAGAGCTCTGCAAGCCGGGGCGCGACTCCGCCCGCACCCCCCTGGGCCACGGCCCGCTGCACCCCGGAGCGCCGGCGCCGCCGCTGGGAGCCTCGGGCTGGCTCGGGGCCGCAGCCGGGTCCGTAACCGTGGGCCCGAGACCGCCGCCGACGGGCCCCTCTGCTGCCGGGCGGGACCTCGCCGAGCTCAGGCGGGACAAGCTCAGAGGTCGACTCGCACAGCCTCCCTCCCTGCCACCCCACCCCCCACCCCGATCCCCGCCGGCGTCTGCTGGCCTCCTTCTTGCCCCCTCGACCGCCACCCGAGCCTCCCTCCAGGAGGATCCGCTGCAGAATTTGCCTACTTAGGGGCGAAAGGGGAAATTTCATCTGCCCTTTCTTCTTGCCTTGGGGGAGCAAACCGCCGAACTTCGGCGAGGTCAGGGGGAGGAGATCCAATTCACTTGCACTAGAGCCAAAGGGAAGGACGGTTTATTTGGAACCAGAGCTAAGAATGAAACGGTCCGGGGTCTCTAGGAGAGGAAGGACCTCAAATAAACAAAATCCTGTCTTTTTTTTTTTAATTTTTATTTATTTATTTTTTACCTTATTTCGGAAGAGAGCGTTTTTAGAACTGGTCAAATCTGGGTAAATTAAGAAATTATCTAGATCCTAAGAAATCACCCAAATCTGGGTGATCTTTTTGTTCAGTTGGGGACCACGCCCTGCTGGAGCTCAGGGACTACTTTTTTTTTTTTTTTTTTTTTTGCTTTTTGGGTCACATCCATGCACAGGAGTCACTCCTGGTTCTGCACTCAGGAGTTACTCCTGGCGGTGCTCAGGGGACCATATAGGATGCTGGGAATTGAACCTGGGTCGGCCACGTGCAAGGAAAACGTCCTACCTGCTGTGCTATTTCCCTGCTGTGCTATTTCTCCAGCCCCTCAGGGGTTACTTTTGACTTGGTTCTGTTCTGGGGTTCTAGCTTCAAACCTGTATCTCCACTAGTGGTTCTTTCTTTGAGTTATTGTTTCTAGAGAGCACCCTAAATCTGAATCACGGTCACGGTCTTCCCGTTGTTCATCGATTTGCTCGAGCGGGCCCAGTAACGTCTCCATTGGAGACTTTGTTATTACTGTATTTGGCATATCGAATACATCACGGGGAGCTTGCCAGGCTCTGCCGTGTGGGCGAGATTTTTTTTAAGTTTTGGGTCACACCCTGCCAATGATCAGGTGCCATGTAGATTGGTGGGGGAGGAGGTTTTAAGGCTTAGGGGTCCACTGTGATCAACACCAGCCTCCAGCATACATGCAACTATTCCTTCTGAACTATTCCTGCACTCTGTGTTTTTTTTCTGGGGCCACACCTGGTGGTGCTCAGGGTTTGCTCCTAGCTCTGCACTCAGGAATCACTCCTTGAGCTGCTCTGGGAACCATATGGGTCCTGGGGATCCCACCCAGGTGTGCCACACTGTGCAGGGCAAGCGTCCTATCCACTGTCTATCTGTCTAACCTCTCTTTGAGCTATTTCTACCTGCACCCTGTACCCCAGTCCTAATCTACATTATTGAATAGTAAATTTCTCTCCACTCTTGCAAGGTCACCATTAACCTTACTTCTAAGTAGACAACTGAAGAAAACTTGCTCTCGGCATCTATGTGAATGAACGTTATTGGGGAGGTTGATCCCACACTTAGGAATCAGTTGCCCCTTCTCCAGCAACTAATGTGGAGGCAAACATTAGTTTGCCACACTCTAACTTTCAGGACAAAGGAGTTTAAGACGGCCAAGATCCACTGCTGGCTGCCCCAGACTTGGAGGGAAGAGAATAATGGATGCTGCTGAGCTGGAAGAAAACAAACTCATCTCCTTTCCTTCCACCTCTTCTGGGTATTGGGCACTTGTGAGATTATGTAAAAGCATTGGGGAATTCATAAGCCAACCAGGATCAATAAATGCACCCTTAGCTGAGATATATACCAGTTTGGGAGTGAACTCTAAAGGAACATAGGAAATCATGTGGGGGGAATTCTGTGGATCCTACCAGTTCTTTCATTTCTCCCCTACCAACTGCTGTCTCCAGAGGCGTATGGGGTGGGGGGAGGAATATTACACAGGATGTTGACCTCAACCTTAGATTTCCTCATTTCTGCCCTGGGGGGAGGCCTGATCCAGTCTTCCTTCCTGAGTCATTGGAGAAAAGTTTTATAGCCCCACTGATCCATCTGCACTATAGGGTGAGACCTGGATATGACCTCTGTGTTTTGTATTTCTGGTTTCTTCAAAGTCCTTGGAGGAAAGACTCCATCCTTTATATCCTGAATCCCAAGTGGACATAAGCTCATGTTTTCATGTCTTTTGTAATAGCCTCCCAACCCCACACCTCACCTATAGTTGATTATCTCTTTACATAGTGGGATATTTGAGAATTGGGTTTCATGTGTGTTCCCAGAACCTCCTTCTTGGGCAACCTGAGACTGCCCTGTTCTAGAAGCACCCACTTACCAATGCACACTTAGCACAAAAAAATGTTTGAGGGCCAGAGCGATAGTACAGCAGATAGGCCTTGTACATGACCCATCAAGGTTTGATCCCTGCCATCCATATGGTCCCTCGAGCCTGCCAGGAGTGACCTCTGAGCACAGAGCCAAAACTAAGCCCTGAGCACTGTGTGGTCCCCAAACCAAAACAAAACAAGTGTTCAGGGTCTCACATGCTATGGTGCGACATTCCTGGTACCAGCCCTCACCCTGTCTTCCCTGCCTGTCACCTGCCCTGGGGACTGCCAGGTCACTGTCACTGTCATTGTCCTCCCGTTGTTCATCGATTTTTTTTTTTTGCTCTAGCAGGCCCAGTAACGTCTCCATCATGAGACTTGTTACTGTGTTTGGCATATTGAATACGCCACGGGTAGCTTACCAGGATTTGCCGTGCGGGCGAGATACTCTCGGTAGCTTGCCGGGCTCTCTGAGAGGGGCGGAGGAATCGAACCTGGCTTGGCCAGGCCAGCTGCGTGCAAGGCAAACGCCCTACCTCTGTGCTATTCTACCGCACAATTCTGCCATTTTGTGGGAGTTCTTCTGTGGGGACAAGTTAAGCTACTCCAGTGGTGCTCAGGGTTTACTCGTGGCTCTGTGCTCAGGGATCATTCGTAGAGGAACTCTAGGGACCATATGCAGTGCCGGGGATCAAACTTGGGTCAGATACATACAAAACAATAATAGACTATAATAGTGTTAATCCCTCTGACACATGGTGGGAATTCTAAAGAAAAGCCGGGAACACTTTACCTACCAGATAACCTAACAACAGCTATAATGATAGTTGATGTATAAAACAAGCATGCTATTCTCTTTCTGGACTTGGTACTATTTCTTTGACTTTGAAAGTCCTTGTGTCCTCATTCTTAGAGCTACAATGAGAGAATTGGATTAAGTGGGATTCTTCAAGACTGGTCCTGTTCCCCTGTGGGTCCTTGAGTTATGTGTGTAAAATGCGCATGTGCGCATGCGCGCGCGCACACACGCGCACACACACACACACACACACACAAAACTCCTGATGTTTATGAAGTTATGTATTTAACAGCTTTTGAAGATAGTTAGGGCTGGAGCAATAGCACAGCGGGTAGGGCGTTTGCCTTGCACGAGGCTGACCCGGTTTCAATTCCTCCATCTCTCTCGGAGAGCCCAGCAAGCTACCGAGAGTATCCTGCCACACAGCAGAGCCTGGCAAGCCCCCCATAGAGTATTTGATATGCCAAAACCAGTAACAGCAAGTCTCACAATGAAGATGTTACTGGTGCCCACTCGAGCAAATCGATGAACAATGGGAGGACAGTGCTACAGTGCTACAGTGCTATGAAAGTAGTTTGGAGTTCCCAGATATTCAGTGTCCAATCTCATGCTGGTACCCTACTGGTTCCTCGGTACACTGCTTTTGGTCCACAATGGTCTCTTGCTGGTTCTGTCTCTTATCCATGGGTCCTGTGTCCCTGGGTGCCCAGTAGTCTGTGACTGACACTCTCTGCTCTGCCTGTCCTAGGCTAGTGCCTCCTGCTCTGGGTCCCTTTGGCCCTTCATTATTCTCTGGCCACCTGCTTGTGAGTGACAACTGCTTTTCCTGTCACCTGCCTAGGCACACAGGAGGGGTCAGATGGATGTCTGTCCATCTAGGTTCACTAGCCAAGAGTCAAAGAAGCTCATGGAGGTGAGACTTTAAATGATCAATTAACTAGATTACCTGACACCTTTCCTCCTCCTCCACTTCCCCATTAACTGATTCAAAGAATCCGATGATTCTTTAGTTCTCTGGTTCTAGGTGATCACCTAAGTGGAGAGGTAGGAAACTCAAAACTAATGCTAGAATTCAGAATGAAATGCCTAGGGCCAAGGAGATAGCACAGAGGTTAGATGCCTCAATTTTTCCTGGCCACTCTACATCGCCCCTCCCCCAGCCCCACCACTGTCAGGCCCGAAAGACCACCAGCACTACTAGGATGACTCTGGTGGCCCCTGTTAGTAAAGAGCCCTACCAGGGCCTACATAGGCACTGAACCACCAGCACTGGGTGGGAGTGATTCCCAGGGCTTCACTGAGCCATGTAGAGCCTGCCCCAATAAAGGAGTGAAATGACCCTGAGTGAGTACAGCCATGCCTCCGGGCAGTGATATGGCTCCTGAAGGACTTTTCCGTTCAGTGTTCAAACCATCCATGAGGGATGGCTTAGAAACCACGGTTCAGCTTCTGTCAGTGCTAAATTTATGGATTTGACCTTTGCAAGAACTGTAACTCTTTCCCTCTAATGTCCTTCTCTCAATTCTGCCATGTGTTAAAAAGGGTTTGTGAAGTGGGTAGAATTACAGCTGTGAAACCTAGATCTTTGCCATCTCCTTTCCTCCTCAGCATCCCCACTGATAGGGCTGAATTCAATCCAGATTAAAAAAAAAAATCTTGTGCAGACGAATAGATCAAAAATG